GAGTCATAGGCGGAGAACAACAGCAACCTACAATGATCCATATGCCAAGCTCACTCACCCAAAGAGTTGGAGTTTGAGAGCCGATCACCACGATATTCGCCGCAAGCGTGCACAGTCGATATTCTGCAGCCGCAAGAACGATGTCCCCGCCGAGAATAGAGAGTTCGAGGGGTGCACACCGGTCTATCGATCGTTGAAGGTGAACCTGCGAGGTAAGGCCGAGCCGGATCGCCCGAGGCTCATCATCAGGAAGTCTATGATAGGTCTTGATGCGAACGAGCGACCCAACAAGCAGTACAGAATCACCATACCATTTACCCATGCGAACCCCCGAGATGGGATACAGTTCGTCGGCGTCGATCCCCTGGACAACCGGTTTACACACATGTACACACGAAGCTCGATACACCCTGGGACTGCTTCGTGCATTTTCCCTTGCATTGATGACCACGGATCACGTTGCGACTGGAGGATATCAATCAAGTACCCCCGTACCTTGGGTGATGCTTTGCAACAAGCGCTCGCTACACAACAGAATGGTAGTAACCCCGACAAGATGCAGATTGATGGCCAGGAGCGAATCCATAGCCTTGCCGAGGAAGACAAACTCCGCGAGATGTCGGTTGTCTGCTCCGGTTTCCTTATGGAAGAGACCGTAGATCCCGACGATGACCACAAAAAGATAATGACCTTCGAACCTGAAAAGAAGGTGTCTGTACAGAAGCTTGGTTTTGCAGTGGGCCCATTTGAGCATATCGATCTTTCATCTGAGTTTAGAACAGAAGAAGACGAGGTCAAACTGGGTATGAATGCGCTCAAGGTTCACGCATACTGCTTACCACACCGTGCCGACTGGGTAAGGAATACAGCAGCAGCCATCACTATGGCAGCTGATTTCTTTACATTCACGTTTGCTCGATATCCGTTCGGCAATTTCAAACTCTGCTTCCTCGATGATATGATTCAGGACACTGTGGCTCTCTATTCCATGGCTTTCGTCAGCAATCGGTTACTTTTCCCAGATGACATTATCGATACCGAGATCGATGTCACAAGAAAGATGGTTCAAACATTGGCGTACCAGTGGATTGGGATCAACATGATACCGAACACAAGAAATGACCTATGGCTTATAGTTGGCATTGCACATTTTATGACAGATCTCTTTATGAAGAAAATTTGCGGAAACAACGAGTACAGATTTCGGATGAAGACACTGTCCGACAAGCTTGTTCAGATGGACGTCGAACGGCCTTCTCTTTACGATCTCGGCCCTTATCTGCATTTGGGGGAGTTCGAGATGGACTTTATGACTCTGAAAGCTCCTGTGGTTTTCTTCATCCTGGACAAGCGACTCATTAAGGCTTCAGGAGGACACGGATTGACACGCATTCTCTCTAAACTGTTAACCAAGGTTCAGATTGAATCTTCTGACAGGGCTACTATCCTTGAAACAGAGAAATTCCGAACAACTTGTGAGAAGGGGGCAAAGTATCGGCTTGAGAGCTTCTGGAGCCAGTGGGTCTACGGTTCAGGATGCCCGCGATTTGATGTCAAGGCGAAATTCAACAAGAAGAGGCTCTGTGTTGAGCTCACGCTAAACCAGATCCAATTCCAGACAGCCAAGAAGCCACCACTAGACAAGAATGATTTCCTACGCGTTGTCAAGGAGCGCCGCTCTGGTGTTAAGCCAGGCGAAGTACAGCCTCTGTTTACAGGACCGATGACGGTACGAATCCATGAAGCGGATGGAACGCCTTACGAGCATATTCTAGAAATCCGCGAAGATGCCACAAGGTCTACCAAATTCGAGATTCCATACAATACCAAGTATAAGCGGCTCAAGCGCACGCGTCGCATGAAGGAAAAGCAAAACGTTGGTGCCAGTATGGATGCGGAAAACATGGATGATGCGCTCCTCTACTGCTTAGGCGACGTTCTGCAGACGCCAGACGAGCAGGCACAGTGGGAGTTGATTGATTGGGATCCCGAAACTGAACGAAAGATGGACCAGGAGTCCTACGAATGGATACGTGTAGATGCCGACTTCGAGTGGTCTTGCGATATGAAGCGGACTCTTGAGCCGTACATGTACGTGTCACAATTGCAGCAAGATAGAGATGTCGTTGCTCAGCAGGATGCTATGCTTTACCTGACTCATGGCCCTTTGCACCCCATCGCGTCAGGGTTTCTTACCAGAACGCTTGTGGACCGCCGTTACTTTCATGGTATCCGAACTATGGCTGCTGAAGCTCTGCCACGTCAGGCCAACATTAAGGATCTATCAATGCTTGGCCTTCGACAACTAATGAAGGCTTTCAGCGAAATGTTCTGCCACAAAGGTACGAACCAACCAAAGCCGAATGACTTTTCCGACAAGAAGCAATACAACGTTCAGTGCGCTATTATCAAAGCTATCGCTCAAGTGAGAGATGCTCACACTTACAAATGTCCTCTTGAAGCTCGCCAGTTTATTCTGGACCAACTTCTCTTCAATAACAATGAGGACAACCCTTATTCTGACCACTTCTACATCGCAACTCTTGTGGAGGCTCTTGCTACGTCCCTCATCCCTTCCAAGCAAGATGATTGGTTTGCGATGCAGAACAAAATCCCTAATGAGGATGAGAAGCAGTTCCTCGAACGGGCCATAGAGCAAATCGAGAGAGTTTTACGGCGAGATGAATGGACCCATTCGTACCAGAACGTTTGGACTATAGCTGGTCTTAGTGCCAAACAACGATTGATGAAGGCGGAAGTAATCCCGAAGAGGTACATTGATTTCGGGCAGTATCTGTTGGACGGAACGAGAGATCTGATTCGGATCAAGGCCTTTGAGGCTCTGATTGACCTGGGGGCTATGCTGGATCCGACAGTGTTCTCATTCTTAACATACTCGCTCATCACCGACCGGTCACCATATGTGCGGAACAAACTCATCGAAGCGGCTGCCTCTGGGCTCGCTGCCATCGCTTTCGGAGAACATACTAAGGTTGTTAAGAACGACCCTCGACCGGAAGATGAAGGAGACCTTCTGCTTGTGCAAGATAGTGCCCAGGAGATTGAGGCTAGAAAAGAAATGTTTGCCAGAAAAGAGAACCTGGATGCAGCACTCAAGGCTTTACGAAGAGAGATGGATGAAACCTACGGAGGCGACGAACGACACTATAGCATTGCGATGCGTAAGGCGCTGGACCATCCGAGTCTCGGTCGTGGTGAGATGGAGAGCATGCTAGATTTGGCGGCGATGATGTTTGAGGAGGCGGGCGACTGGGTCATTACGCTCCCCTTACCAAAGGCTTGGAAGGTCGAGAGGCCTGTGCAACAGCTCTCTAATCGCGTAAGTGCCACGTTGTTTACAAGCAAGTCTTTGCCGGTGCTAACTTGGACAGTTGATCATGAAATTCAAAGCTCATTACAGGACGACACCCCGGGAGCCAATCGTACAAGCACCACCGCCTCCACCTCCCGCTCCGCCTGCCCCTATCGTCGAGCAGAAGCGGCCTGCACCTCTGCAGAAAACATCTTCTATCAAGATCAACACCCACAAGACGGCCTCTGCCCAACGCCCAAGTGTCCCTCCGCCTCAACGGCCCTGCACCAGTGCCTCTCCCGTTGTTCAAAGCCCGAAGCCCACTCTACCAAAGCAAGAAAGAGACACCATTGTTGCATCACCAGGTCTGTCTCGACAAGCAAGTGCTACGTCTTCATCAGGATCCAAACCATCCTGGCCCCCTGAACCCTCATCTGCTTCTAGTAGCAAGCGGCCTCGACCTGAGAAGGATGAACAGCATACTCCGGCACCCAAACGCCCAAAGGTCGATAAGCCATTCGATTCGGGTATCCTCAAGAAGAAGAAGAGCAAGATCATCACCTTGAGGGTTGCTCCAAACCGCCTCGCTCCTTTACTGAGAAAAGAAAAGAAGCCAAATGGGAATGGCCGGGTATCTCTCCCCTCAGGGGCGCCAAGAGATGGCCCTGCCCCTCCTCTGAACTCAAGATCAGATTCCATCACAGCCAAGCCCGCCAGAAAGCCTCTTCCTGGAGATGTGGCGCGAAGGCCTTTGCCTGGAGGCCCGGCATCATCGCCGCATCCTGTGCCAGAGAGGAAGGCCTCGCTAAATACTCATTCGAACTCTACACCGAAGCCCAAGTCTGCGAGTCCCGCCACGAGCACACCCCCTCCTGCAGCAGCGCCTACTCAGCGGCCCAAGATCAAGCTTATTCGAAAGCCACAACAACCACCAGCCCCCTAAAAGCCGAAGCCAAAGGGGGCATCGTCTCGCTGGCCTATGCTAAAGCAGCCCGCCGATTGCAACAGGTTCGGCTCAGCCATAGAGCGGTTTGCAGCCTGCCTACTGGCAAATAATATGCTGTCAGTAAACTTGCTACCCTTCTGGCCTCTTGCTCGTCCCTCTGCGGACCTGGCAAGTAAGTGTGGCTAGTGACGAGAAACCATTAAACAACGTCAATGTAAATAGGAGCATAAGAATGTGATGTGGATTGAACGCAAAATGCGACACGCGGGGAACGAACAAAGAAGTTTTATCATTACGTTCGAACGAGAAGTCACAGGATTTTACGGAAGCTGGTTTGTGGTGTTTCACGCATTTAGTGGCAGAGGTCACTAAAAAACTGCATTTTTTGGCGTTGGGAGCGCAACATAAAATGCGAAAGCTCTGATGAGTGAGAGGTATGCAATGAGACGTAATGAGTATATAGGCAGTTTTGGGGACAATTCATCAAGATATCCAGTCAACACTAGTCATCCCCGTGAGGTTATGTTCACTTCATGCATGTCGAATATCACCTAAGGTATTGGTGAATAGAACTTGAGGGTGCCATCTTGGTTTCAGATTCAAATTGGGTATTAAGTAATGCAGTATGTCCTTTTCGTCTTAACCAAGAGGTACGCCGCGCCCCTCCCCCTATGAGTAAACGCCTGCCCGACTCTCGACTTATTTATCCGTATCAAGGGCGTCAAACCACTGGAAGATATTCTATCCTTCAAGCTGGCTGCCACCTTCTTTTGCTTGGGCCTCGAGAAAAGCCTTCCTCAAGTTAAACCTCTGAAAGCCGTGTTTATTAACAAGCCGGTTGTGAGCTCTCTGAGCGCGCTCCTGTTGAAGTTCTTCGCTATCGTCAGCTGGAGAACGGTGAAAGTCTACGCTCGAAGCAAAGTCCAAGTCCGCATCGTCACGGTCTGTCCAGATACCCTCATGGTGAGAAGGCACCTCGCGTCCTTCGCTAAGATGCTTCATGACTAGAAGGGCCGATTTTCCAGGTGTAAGGGTGGTGCGTTTGAGGGCTTCCACGACAAATTGGCGGGGGTAGCCCATTGATTCATAGCGAGTAATCCATTTCTGAATTTCTTGAGAATTAGACTTCTCTGAGCTCTCAGGCTGGTTTGTCTTGGGAATAGCTTGGGAAGAGTTGAAGGAGGCCGGAAGAGACCGTCGAGCTGTTCGGCTGTTTGGTTGTGGGTTCGGTTTCGCAGAGGAAACAGCTCGTCTGGGAGCGATTTGTTCTGTAAAGCTACTGTCATGACGCCGTCTCATGGGCTGGGCATGTGATTCTCGCCGGCTCTCACGAGAAGATTTCTGCTGGCGATGTTTATTCAGACGCAATGGTATTGGTGTAGTATCCAAAGCCGTATCATTTGGCAGCGAAACATCCACAGATTGGTGTCGAGTATCCTGCCTGAATGCTGGTCGCGTCCCGAGGTCTTGTGACTCTTCTTGCATCGGGGGAAGGGGTGGAAGATGCTGCGAAGCTTCGCTTTCACCAACATAACCTAGCCACTGAGAGGTTCTTAGTGCACCAGGAGATGTTTCTTGGGCATGCTGTAGCTTGGGAGCTTCTTCGGCGTCCGGTGTAGATGGTATCTCTATGTCCTTACTGTAGCGTCTTTTCTTAAAGCGCCCTGATGAGGCGAAGGGAGGCTCACCAGCAGTTCGTTTCAAACTTGACGCGGCGACTGGGGGTGAGGATGGTACCTGACTTTGCAGTAAACCGCGCTCTTGACCGTCTTCGAAGTCGATGTCCTGACCGGGGTCTATGTCAGGAGCTTGATCCTGTGACTCGGGGTTCTGTTCCTCGCTGTTGACTTCGAAACTCTCCATTGTATCGAGGAAGTCCACGAGGTTCTCTTCATAGCAGAGATGTAACTCGTTGACGGTATGCTGATCTGGTTCAACGAAACCAAGGTTTTCCGCGACTCTGTGCCAGTCGGTTAATTGGCTGTCCTGTGATACTGGCGCATCTCGGGTAGCTATCATAAGATCAAACAACTCGATCTTCTTTCCATTGATGTTGAGGCTGCTCTTAATGTCTCTCTCGGTGACTTTGATATACTCATCAAGATCTTGATACCAGTTGTACCTCAGAAGAGCGAGAGCTTCTTCTTCTTCTTGTTCTTCTTCTTGACGGTCTTCTATTGATTTCCGAGATTTGTTAGCTTCTCTCGGGCCTTGCGATGGCGCTCTCGTAGGTTGAGGTTGTGGTGGTCTGCCAACGGGGCCGGCATCTACCCGATTGTTCACGCGTTGCTCAGGGGCCCTTTGAAGAGCAGCCTTCTGCGGAACTTTGGCAATTGTATTGCGGCCCTCCGCAGTCTTTTCTGGGATGCTCGCAACGGGGCCGGCTTCTGCAGGCGCAGAGGCTGCCATGGTCTCTAACGCTTTCCTATCCAAGAACTGCAGCTTTTTGAGCCAGCGGTCACGCCAAGATTGTGCCGTGTGTCGAGGATTCTACGCATGTGAGCTTAATTTTCATGGCCTGATTCGCGAAAACTTACAATCTTTTCATACTCGTACCATATCTGGTTTCCTTTGTGCTGCGTTGGATGGCTTAGTGCCCACCTAGTAAGTTTCGCGTCATCCTCCGCAGTAAACGGTGTCCGTGTTGACTTTTTGGTTTGATTGCTGCCCACCGGTCTTGGCTCGTCTGGATGGCGTCCTATCAGGTATTTGTCCTTTATCTGGATATACCCGTTTTCCACAGAGTCCTTAATAAACTTCCATGAATAGGATCCAGGGGGGGCATCTCTTTTTATGAGATGGTCCGCAATAAGCATATCAGCATGTTTTTCAAGCAGCACGACCTTGCCGCCATTTTGCTATCTTAAAATCAGCGACAGCGCGTGAATGAGTTTACAACTTCAACTTACCGTGATAAGCTCTGTCCAATGTTTTCTGCTCGGTACTCGATGTGACAGCCAAAACTTGAGATCTTTGAAGATGGTGCCGCCCTCCGCACTTTCGACTCCATCGTATGTGATTGCCGGTGGCATTGTGATGAGCAGGCTTTCTCTGGGCTATGAAAGGGATAAGGGCTGGTCACTGTAGATCGCATCAGAGGCTGGGCTAGAGGTGCGCCAACGACTCTGCAGATGTCAATTTTGGCAGCGTGAACCAGCTTAAACCATTTGAAAATTTGATTAATTCATCGTATGATGAGACGCGCCCTCAATTCGGCCAAATTTTGGTTACCGCCCGCGGTCTTGATGTTCTTTGGATGCAAGTCGCCCTGATGAAAGCCACGCGCTGAAAGGCAACGCGCGCTCACGTGCCAGTGGCAGTATTCAATTAACCACGTTTAAGGTTTGCCTAACTGCATAAAATTGAAGCCACTGCAATATGGGTAGATTTGCTATTAAACTATATAGAGTTGCTACAAGTCGAATAGCAGTTACATTCCGCATTGTGATCACTTTATCTTGCATATGGTTAATTAATCAATTGACCTGATCTATTCTTGCCTGTTTTGTTCGACAGACCTCTCTCTAGTATCGTTCTACTCCATGGCTAGACCAGAAAGAGAACGACGTCACCTCTTATCGATAAGAGCTTCCCGGGCTATCCCCGGTTATCGGTAGCTTTGACCTTGGTTGCCATGGTAGCAACGATGGAGTGTTTACTTCCAATCAGAACCGAGGCCGTGGGACGAGTGGCCGGGATTATTTGGGTCTAAGCTACAAGTTGCACGAACAACGCAAAATAGATCCATTCACTTAGCTACTTCAAGCTGGACCTTGCTTTCTTCCTTTTTCCTCCTCTTCCTCTCTCTCCTCTCATCCATCTCTTAAACTTCAAGCTTACTACTACTAACTAAAGCAGGTTGCGTTTGTTCGTTCTTGTTTCTGCGTCCTTCATCGCATCGCATCGCATCTGATCTGCATTCACACTTTCACGGCCTAGCGAGAATTTACTTGTTTGCATGGGTTGAGTTTGCTTGTCCACCGTGAATAACTTCATCATGTCTTCCGAGGACAAGTACGAAACGCTGGAGAAGATTGGTGAGTCTATCGAGTTAACAGCACTCGTCTCGATGCGCCGTGCTATCAATTGAGCGGCAACTCTAACTCACCGTCTTCTTCTAGGCCATGGCTCCTTTGGCATTATCCGCAAGGTCCGTCGCAGGACAGACGGCTTCATCATGTGCCGTAAAGAAATCTCATATCTACGCATGTCCCAGAAGGAGCGCGAACAACTTCACGCCGAGTTCCAGATTCTATCGCATCTGCGCCACCCAAACATTGTCGCCTATTACCACCGCGAACACCTCAAAGTTAGCCAGGACTTGCATCTTTACATGGAGTACTGCGGTAATGGCGATCTCGGCCGCGTTATCAAGGACCTCGCACTAAAGGGCCAGCGAGCTCAGGAAAGCTTCGTCTGGAGTATTTTCAGTCAGCTTGTCATGGCACTTTACCGATGTCACTACGGTGTTGACCCTCCAGAAGTTGGCGCCAACGTGCTTGGGTTGACACAGGGAAACGCTGCTGGCGGACCCAAGGTTCCCGCTGGAACAATGACTATTCTACACCGAGATTTGAAACCTGAGAATGGTGAGACCTCGATAGTGGATCCCTTTGTTTACGATATTCGAAACTAACTGTGTTTTAGTCTTCCTTGGCGAGGACAACTCTGTCAAGCTTGGAGACTTTGGTCTATCCAAGATGATCAAGTCCCACGACTTCGCTTCTACCTATGTCGGTACCCCCTTCTACATGTCTCCCGAGATCTGTGCCGCGGAGAAGTACACATTAAAGTCCGATATCTGGTCGTTGGGTTGCATCATCTATGAGCTCTGCGCACGCGAGCCACCCTTCAACGCAAAGACGCATTTCCAGCTTGTACAGAAGATTAAAGAGGGCAAGTTCCCTGCCTTGCCAGATGTTTACTCTCCCGAGCTTTATCAGGTTATCAAGGACTGCCTCCGTGTGAACCCTGATCGCAGACCTGATACTTCTGAGCTCCTTAACCTGCCAGTGGTCAAGCTTATGAGGAAGGAGAAGGAGGTTGTCGACCTCAACAAATCTCTCCGGCTCAGAGAGGATGCTTTGCGTAAGAAGGAAAGGGACCTCAATGAGAGACTTGCCAATATGGAGAGAGAGAAGGACGTTATCCGAGAGGAGCTGGACTCATCGCTACGGAGAGAGTGGGAGGTTAAGGCACGTCTCGAGATTGACCGTCTTGCAAACGCGGAGATCGAGCAGCTCCAAAGTCGCTTCGAAGCCGAGGTTCAGGCACGCGTCGAAGCTGAGCTGCAAAAGAAAACAGTAACATTTTCCGGTTCAAGACCTGAGAGTCGAGAGGGTGAGTATGCCTCATCAATGGGCAAGTCAGATTATAAGTCCGACTATCCTCACTCTTCCATTGGTGGCAGCGAGGTCGAGTTCCCCTCCACAACAGATCTCACTGAGTACTCCATCGATAGCCCCGAGGCGCCTCGAGAGACTAAGAAGACAGCTCGCACGCCTTTCAGCCGTGCGCAGACCATGTTCGTCGGTAATCCCGCTGGTACACCAATGGATATCGAGATGAACTCACCAAGCCCTATCGCTATTGCGTCGCTATCTCTTTCTCCTCGTCGCAATGGCAACACCAAGGCTCCTACCACTGCCAATGCAAACATCTTTACCGCCAACGCCAATCGAAATTCCGCCGATTCTCGATGGGATCACCCTCGTGATACCCTGTCTGATTCTGAAGATGAAGACGTCGTCCCATCGCCAACACGGAACATTAAATCTTCGAAGAATCCCTTCACCTCCAAGACACGACCTGTCCTCACTTCTCAGAAGTCCTGCCCTATGAACCGCCTCAAGACCCAACCATCAACATCGGGCTTCGTGTCTAAGCAGATGCCTCCACCTGAGGCTCCGAGGTCGCCTACTCGCCGTCTGAGCAAGATTCCCTCGGCGGCAAACCTCCAGTCCGAGGCCAACAGCCAGGGCTTGACGCGCGCCTCGTCACTCAACAACAAGAAGAACAGCAGCAGCACCGATGATGTTCTGGGCAAGGTTGCTGCTAAGAATAACATTCGAGGCCGAACCCTCGTCGAGCTTCAGCAGGCTCGCGCAGGCGGTCGTCCCATGAGCGCCATCGTGATGCCCAGCACAGGGGAGAACGTCAGTCCCAAGAGGGCATTCCGGGACCGCATCGGAATTGAGCGCAAGTCAAGTGGTGACGAGCCCGTCGCTGTCTGGGATCCGGAACGAGACGAGATGCCCAGTCCTTTCCTGGTCCGACAGCGACGGATCGCCCGGGTGTAGGCCGCCTCCGTGCTAGTCGCATGAAAAGAAGTAATGATGAAGAAAGCCGGCGTGTGGGTGTGGGTTGTGGCTGTGGTTTTTATTTTATTTTTATGCATTAGAGGCGAGCATCATGATATTGCTTTGGAGGGTCTACGCTACCCTAACATACCTCTTTGTCTCTCGTTTTGATTCCCCCTTTCATTTGTCTTACCGCAAGCTGAGAGGGAAACGAGAGACATTCCCGATGGATATCCCCCTCACACGTGAGGGTTTGGAAATGATACATGGAAACACTTATGGGCGTTTTTGGCGCGAGCACAAGGATCATGGCATGCATGGAATGGAATGGGCTGTTACATTTTAAATGCTCTGTTGGTGTGCTTGTTACTTTTAATGGACAAGGATTTTAGCATTCATTGTTGTTATGAGTTGAACGTCTAAACTACTTGCGAAGAATGGTGGGATTGGATCGAATTCGGTTGAGTTGGATTGGGCTGTTCTTGCGTATGTTTATTATTAGACGTTGTAAAAAAGATAATGACACACTCTTCTACACACTCTTCTACACACTTACTCGGCCTCTCAAGCCTCCTCGATCTGGTGAATAGCATTGTCTGGCCCCAAAATCTCGAAGGCCTTCTCATAGGAACGCATCCGCACTTTAGAACTCGGTGAGCATCCAATGAAATGAAGAGCCTTTGGAGTGCAGTATTTTGCAGATAACCCTTGTCTATTCAAGACATACAACGTCATTGGGCAATCCATGTTATCATGAGAATGGATGTGTACCCAACTTACACCAACTTTACTCCATCGTGAACCCAACTTACAACGCCGTCTCCCCTTCTCGCCTCATTTTCCAGCGCCAATGAAAGAACCAGACAGTTGGTATATGCTTTCAATCCAGGTCATAAATCATTTTTTAATCCACCTGTCGAGTCCAGCCTTAATCTTCACACACACGTCAGCAACTATGCTACAACCCTTTAGTGTTGGGCATCACTGCGTCTTCCCCATAAACGATGCTTCCACCCGCCTTGCATATGCATCCCCAGAGCTGCACCCCAGAGCCAGTCGTGCAGGTGAGGCGTTCGACAATGTGAAAGCACGACTCGAAGTGGTCCATTAAAAAGCACGATGTGGTGAGAGCTCTCGTGATGAGTATAGCCATTGGCAGGGACATCCATGCCTTTTGACATTAGCATCACCTCATGAGAAAACAATCTTCCAAAGATTCCAAGAAACAAAGGTACATGTCGTAGTAAACGTTTGTTATGACAATACAACAATCAACAAGGGGTATTTTTCTCCAAGCACACACTTCAACACCAAATTTGTCTGAGTAAAGTAAGGAGTCCAAGCATCTGACACAAATGCCCGACACAAACATATATCCAACAATAGGCGCTATTCGATGCCAAAATAGCGCCAAACTGAGCCCAAGAAAAAGCAGATAGACAATAATAGCAACAAAAACATTAAAAAAATAGGCCAGGCCGTGAGGCCAATTCCATCTTGCGTAGACGTAGCGCAGCGTGTTGTAGCCGTGAGGCCCATCAATCTTCCAAAATTCCCACGTCCCAGGTTCCCTTCCTGACCTTTGATTCGTCATGGCTATAGACCGAGCCTGAGAGCAAAATGCATTTCGCGATGCAAGGAGCACGGCGGTCCTGTGTAACCCGCGCAGGACTTTGTCTCTTTTTCGAACTCTCCCCTATTTTCTTTTTCGAATCTTTTCTTCTTTTTTAGACTTTTGTTTTACTGTAACAATGTTTTGTAAGTGAGTAATCCCCGGCCACACCTTCCCGCCATCTGGTAGGCGGTCTGTTTAGTGCCGTGAACGATGAGAACTGCTGTGACGATGAGAGTGACCATGGCTGCGATGAGAGGAAGAATGGTGCGATGAAGAGTGTCGGTGTCGGCTCGAGCTACCACTACTCTCAAGATCCCGCTCCAGAGTTTCAACTCTTGACCGATAGCCCTTGACAATCTCCTTGATGTGGGCGATACGGTCGAAATCTACCTCGAGCTCATCCAGCTGCTGGAGAATCTCGGTATACCGAGCAATTTCTGCGTCGGCGCCGCCGATGATTCCATCAGCTTCGTCATATTGCAGTTGGGTGAATCGCTGCGCTTCATGGCTCAGGTAATTAATCCGTTGTTCGATACTAGCCATAAGATGATCAAAGTAACGGCCTAAAGCAGAAAGTGAGGAGCTGTCGAGTAGTAGAAGGCCTTGGCTACTGGCGCGACTAGCGGCGCGCGAGCTGCTGGACCCCCCTCCCAGTGCCGCCTGCCCTTGGCGAAGCAGCTGGATCTCCTCGTTGGTGAGCCCTAGCTGGGTGTCCGGAACAGCCTGTGAGGACATGACGGGCAGCAGCTGGAGGGGCTGCTAGCTATGGCGTGGGGAGACCAGGTGAGTCGCAAAGTAGGCGGCTGCGGTTGAGATTTGGGGGGTCAAGTAAAGGTTTCGGTTTTTGGGATCGTCGCAGAAAAGCGAATGGGTTGAGGATGCGGTATGAGCCGAGCAGGTGGGCGAGGAGAGATTCGGTTTGTGTATAAGACCGCTGCGGCAACTCGTGACATGGGCTATGTTGGATGGGAAGAGACTGACGGGCCGATGGCCTGTTGACACGACTGAGTGAAGAATACAGCTTTGGTAATGGCACCAATGGACAAGATACCACGGCGCACAGAATCGACAATGATAGAGAGATATGCGAGGAGGATCGCAGCGACGGCAAGGGTGAGGATGATAGCGGATGCGACGATGCTAGAATGGGCGTGGGGTTTGCTGCGCAGAGCATCATGATATCGCGGCCAATACGATCATGAGCATCATCGGTGGTGTTGAGTCGGTTTTCAGTGGTTTCGGGATGTCAGGTAGTTCGTCTGGAGGCTCCCAGACCTCAGAGCGCCCCGAGAAAAACGAGAAGAAGTAAGAGAGAGCGATCGAGGGAGTTGGGTCTCTTTTGGGGAATAGACGGAAGAGGTGTGATTGGAGAATCGGGGGAGGAACCCAAGAAGACGGAATTGGGCTTGAGGTGGAGGGTGGGGGAGATGGACTCGAAGCAACAAAGTACCAGTACGTATCGTTTCGTAAGTAAGGTCGGTCGGTCGAGTAAGGTATGGAGGATGGAAGGCCCGTTTCGGTGAAAGAGGCAGGGATGATTTGACGAGGGGGTTTGCTTGATGATTGCGACCCAAAAGAATGATATTTTCTTTGGTGTGAGGATGCAGTGTGGTGCGCGGTCTGGTACTGCTGTAGAGCGTATGGTGACAAAGTTTGATATCGTTGAAAGTACAATAGTCAGACTGAACCAAGGATGATCATTAGCCTCTATCCTCGGCTGTATGTAAAGAAACGAATTAATTAATTAGGTGATGGTGTTGAATAAAAGAAGAACTAACTTCCACTACCAAAGTTGTAGCGTGATATGGATGGATGAGATAAGATGGGTGGAGGGGAATGGGGAAGGAGGATAATTGAGAGGTGGTTGTGGTTTGCGGTTGCGGTTGCGGTTGCAGCTGCGGTTGCACAATTTGGTTACAATTGCACGTGCAATTGCAATCAATCAATTAATCCAGCCGCGGTCAAGGCAAGGGCAGACAGGTAATACTCTATCACTTTTTATAGTAATATTAAAGTTGATGCCCGATTGATTGATTAATTGATTGCGCTGATAAACAAGTGAGGTAAGGTATGGCAAGGCAAGGCAGGTACCGACAGAGCGGTCACTGATGGAGCTGGGAGCTCTTACAGCCAGCCAGAGATAGCGCGCGCTAATTGGAGCTCCCTGTCAATAAACGACGATCTCAAGAGGTCCAAGAGTCGGCTTTTTTTGCTTCTTCTGCCTTGTCTCTTCTAGTCAACCGGGGAACGACAGATGAGAAAGATGCAAGGCAAACCAGCAAAGTAATTTCTAGTACCAACAGTGAAGTGAACTGTAGGGCCACTGCTGTTTGCCGTATTCAGGCTTGACAGGGTATCATTTAGGCGTGAACCAGGGCCAACTCGGCGGCCATGATGCTGGGGGGGAGGGGGGCATAAAGGTCGGTGAGAAAGAAACCAAGAACCCACGGTGAGAGGGATCTCGATGGTTATTGATGGCGTCGTAATAGACGAGGAGAATATGAATCCAAGGGGGAGAAAAAGGAAAAAAGAAAAGAAAGAGAGGAAAGGAGAAAACAAGAGACAAAGACAAAAAGAAAAGTGTGGCTTCTTTTATCGAGGGCGACTATAAACATGGAAGACAACAACTTCACCCAGATCAGGAGACAGATCATGATACAATACAGGTCCACGGGCAAGAGCAAACATACGACACCCTGATTCTAATTGCCTATTCCATGAGACGGAGATGAATGACCACGCCCGGGAACTCGGATCATGGGCCGTATATTTCTCACTCGAGACTCTCTATGCTACCTAGGTAGGTAGGTAAGTTAACTCACCTCGGTTCGGCTTCCATGTCGATACTAGACCCAGACACAACAAATATTAATGATTCCCATATTGGCTTTTTCTTTTCCGTGCCTCTACTGACCATGACCTACATACAAAGTAGGGTCTATCCCAGTCTCTAACCCATGCTCACCATCACCACCACGAGCCACATTTGGCGGAGGCAGCCACCGCGGGGATCAAAGCTGAGGAGCCCCGAGCACGACATGTACTCCATTGTATTCCACTGTCTGTAACATGCACAAGACACTTGCTGCGATGGCAGGTCAGAGATAAAGTGCATACATGAATTATCGTGACGATCCTCCGCCGACTATCAGCACACACACACACACACACACACACATACACTAGATATCCCCAGGTACTGCCCAAATTGGTAGGTGTTAATGTCATGCGCACGTGTATCTCCCGTCCGATCAATGCACTCCCTGTTCGTCAGTTATACTTACACCTCCAATGCAGCTCGCGGATTCCTTCTACAACACCAAACCAAGAAGCGTATCAATCGCGATATAAGCCGACGCACGAGCCCAGCGCCTACTGACTCAGCCTGAAACCCTCCCTCATCACACAATAAGTTGATTATTGCCCATGTCTTATACCTAAGTAAGTAAAGAACCGCAGTCAGTCAGTCAGTCAACTCACTAACTCTGTTCTGTCGATCCGGAAATCGGCAGCCATCTCCCCGAAACACAAACCCCCAATATCAATGGGTGATGACTTGTGGCGCGCGCCAGACGAAACACATCCCTGACTCAGCACTACACATCACAGCACAGCACTACACACCAAAAGGATAAACTACGATAATCATAGGGTTCGTTTGCTTGTCGAGTTCGTCTCGCTCTTTACACTGCAGGTCCGAATGCATATTTTCTGCAGATGCGTGTCTGCATCATGCAACTACTGCTGACCTGCAGCACTATTGAGCCTCAACATGACGTCTACAGGTATCAGCAGCATCTCTCACTCACTCACGCACTCACTCGCTCACCCACAGGCTTATCCATTTCATCAACCTCGGAACATTGCCGTTGCTCCCCCGCCCTCGCAACAACCTGAACTGCCGCATCTTGTCCTCAGATGATACCCTTTTTTTCTTCCCGGTCCAATTTGCCTGTTCTCTTTTTGCGTTGCATCGAGTGGCACGAGGATGGCCAAAGGATCGTGTCAAATGCAGCTTGCCGCTGCAAGTAATACCACCCTTGCTCGTGCTATCATATGTTGTGCGCCGACTTTAAAGACTGGTCCTCGGTCGATCCAGCCATGAGCAAGCCATGCTGTGCTCCCTTTGTAGACTTTTTCCTTCGTACTGGGCAATCATCCGGAGATCCTCTAGGGCGCCATGCTGTGTAACAAACTTCTTCCATCAAATTCGTTTGATGTTAGAGTCGTACAAGTTTGCTCCATGCTCATACATACAATTGGAGCGCCGGCAAAAACTGTAGTCTCTTCTGACTAATGTCGCCTCCAATTTGACCGAGCTCATCAGAAAATGCTTGTAAAAGTTGTATGTGCTGTTCCACAGGCGCAGTCACTCAGATCTGGCTGAAGTCTTTCCCCTGTACGAAGTCTTTCCCCTACATTTACGACAACGTTTCTATCGTCACATAATATGTCGTCTGATCGATGCGGCAGGGTAGGACTGATTCTTTTATCCTAGAAATCGCTGGATTAGTTGTCCGTACGTGATCTTTGAACCACAGAGCCTGCATCCGTCAATATAAACCCCAGTACCTGCCATAGGAAGCTCAGATTTGGACCTTCAGTGCCATGAACGATGGTGTTACCTATGTACTTGTTCTTATTGATTTTTCTTGGATAATTTTATTCGCATCCTAGGTCTATTTCTCACTACCTAGGTATACCTACCAGTGAAAGTTTGAGGTTACCTCTTGCACTCAAGGATGCGATATTCGAACACCGGCTTATCGGGATTGTAGGAGGCGATATCCTTTTGTTCAAAGCGCTTCTCTTACATTCACTAGGTCTATACCCGTAATACACTGCTAACATATCCTATCAATCGTAATGTACTAGTCCAATCTCATCTTCAGTGATGCCCATGTTGCTATCATGCCTTGACCTGACCACTGTTGCAATGCTTGTTTGTTCTACTTAAGTCTCTTTACTAGAGTGGAAACATCATTAAGCAAACTTTATGTATCTCGGCGTATAGAGCTCACATCGAACCGGTGACGAGTGACGCATCAGTATCACAGAACCCCGACCATCAATACTCGCCTCACATACCAGGTAAAACGGCACTGCATAGGATCTATTGCATATATCCCAAGTCTTTCCAGTACTATTTCATTCGATAATGGCGACTCGTCTTCTGTTGAAATTCTGTTTCACTGGGACAGCATAAACCCCTTAATCCGTGCGTTCGGTGATGGCGGAGCTCTACAAAAGACTCAAGCAATTACAGGAGATGTGATGCCCATTATTTTCAAGATACTATAGCTAGTTCCTTCAGCACTTGCTACCTTTATGGTCAGTAGATCGTGATGCAACTGGTGTTTATCCTTAACGAAGTCTACCGTCATCTGTTGAGTTTCAGCGATAGGTGCCCATGAATGCTTGACAATGATCTTAGTGGATTTAACCCTATGTATTCCTTACTATGTCTGATTGCATCAACTCTCTTCGATATCTGAGGTTGATTGACAGGCATAATTCCGCACTTCTCAAATCTGAACTCAAGTCATGTCGGATCAGGTAGCATTTGGTGATATTGCTGAAGCCAAGATTATTCCACCCCTGACACTGACGAGTCAGGAAAAGCTTTCCTTGTGCGGCGATATTTTAAAGCTTCATTTATTGTTTCAGAGCTCATTCATATCGAAACTATTGCAGAACGCTAGAGTATTACCCAACCTTTAAGCTCTTGGATAGGGGAAAAGGCTTTCGTATTGAAGTTTTACAGAAGAAGACGAACGTGTTTGACTACAATTCCATCTTACAAATGTCAATCAACTCTTGAAGATTGAAATTCTAGTTCAATACGATGCTTCTGCATAAGGCCTCAAAGTCTTCACCTTCGCAACTCACCATTGTTTGCTGTCGTCCTCATATGGCCAACTCTTCAGGTGAGATAACAAGATTCACGATGTACCATGTGATACATCGAGTTCTATGCTTGGAGAATTGGATAAAACTACGGCAAGTTTATCGTCATGAGACATGTTTGATAGCTAAAGAGTTCTGGCCTGCTGGAGATTTTGGGCCGGCATCGTAGACTGCCTTGACTCTTCACTAGGCAATGGTTCCTCCGAGACGAACATTGTACGGCTATATGCGATCATTCCATGATGTCCTATATTTCTTGAGTCTTATGTTGTTTTGACGAAGGTGCAGCCTGTTGCAGGCTCAACAGAACTCAAGGGGATAGTATAGAGACGATGAGCGAGCTGCCAGGAAGACCAAAGCCATTGAATCCAACTATGTAGGTAGCCTAGATATCATGCAATAGCTATGTTGTGCTTTTTTGGTCTTTCTATATTGAGATTCATATGGTACAAGCGTTCTGTTCTTTGCAGTGTCTTGACAGTTGAAGCACCATTCCTCATGAGCATTGAATAGTTTATATGTTACCACGAGTCGTGTGTATCAGCAGCTCTCCTCCCAGATCATATTAGTTTTCAATATTATTGTGTCTGTTTACACATTTATTTGGTTTTCTATCACAAAAGAGCTCAACTTTTGCGATGACTTGAGACGTACATGAACTAGCTTGCGTCAATTCAGGACTGGCCGTTTTACTCCTGTCTATGGCCAAAATCAGTCTACATTTCCGCTACGTTTGTCATCTCACAGTCATATCTGGTTAATACTCATTTGAAAGGGTCTGGACACATGAGTCGCTGTTCTCTGTATGCTTGGAGCATCTCCGAGCACTTCTTACCCTGGTGTCAGTATAGAATGTGTTCTTGTTCGATAATTTTCTTACTCAATATTCTCATCCGCAATAAGAAATCGAGACCGTCAGGCCAGAAAAATCTAGAACAAAGTCGACTGTCGCTATCCAAAAATTCGTCGCCAAGGAAGTCAATCCTATTGTTCGCCCCTTTCGACGTCATCGTTTAGGGTAGCTCGAACCATTGGGGCGACAACTTCCAAGGCCATATTATCAATTGTCCCGGTAGGAAGAGCTTCTCCTAACGTCATGATAAAGCACAGCCCTTTCCATTTGCAGTAGAATTGATCTTGTCTGTGTCACGGCAATTGCCGGTAGCTGGTATGCGAGTGACATGCCGCCGGGTGAACTAACCCACCGCGATAGCCTCAACTCATGACTTGAAGCTGTCATTCCGAGATGCAAGGAGAAAGCATAGCGCTCTAGCTGAAGACCCTGCAGCGGGGTCGGAGTCTCCGGTAATAATTAAGAATTGACAGCTTATCCACACTGCGACTCTGACAAGCTGACACTGAATCAGTAGCGTTCAGGTGAAGGACATGTCAAGAATCACCTCGACAACGTTGTGTAACCATCATACATCGCTGACTGTCTCTGATACACTATAGAAAACTCCTTGCATCTGCCACTGGCCTTGCTGCAGCTAAAATGCTCTATCACAGACAATCTGCAGGCCGCATACCAGCTAGGAGCGGCCGTCAGCTCGAAGAGTCAAGACAGTACCCCGGCATGTATCGATAATGATATCCAATAGCAGCCTCACAATGTCAATCCACTCATTCAGGGACGGGGAACTATCGATAATAGTAACTTGAGTCCATGACGAAGGCTGGTAATTCCGTATAGAGCCTCTGTCCGACTGTCGTCTAAACATTTGGAGTGAAGACGAAGACGGTGAAACAGGTTTCAACCCGAAACCATGGAGAATCAGTTTCGTTAGAACTCAAAAGGAAGAATGCAACAGAGACAGTGAAATCGGTAGTTTTCCCAATATTGAATGTCTCCGTGTTGTAAAAAAACAAAACAAAAAACAGGGAGACAGTGTGGTAAGGTAAGGATTCTCCACAACTGTCTGTGTCTCCCGCAAAATGAAACAAAACATTCCCTTCAGCAACCTCACCAAAAAGCAAAATATTCGCCGAACAATAAGACATTTTACTCAATCCCAGTCCGTGCTTTGAGTTGAGGCTTGTTCCGCGTACAGATTCTGCGCATCCGAGTGCAAGCATCAGTGTAAGGGTTCGGTCTAGGCGACGATCACTGCAAGCACATAGAGTTTGTAGAGAGTCAGTCGCCAGTGTCAGTGTAAGGCAAAGGATGGATCTGTCATGTCTAGGACAGAGTGACATCGCGTGGTCTCTTCCCCTTCGGGCTTTCTTGCTTTTGAAGCGAAGTGCGCTTGGCCACAACCTGGCCCCTGCTCCCGAGACCTGAGACGCTCCGGCGTGGGCCCCCTTTGAGCCAGGGCTTAGTGTTTCTACCGGCCGGTACGGTTCTGTATTTGCTTTTTTGGGTCACGGGCTGTGCGTGGGATCTGCTTATGTGAAGATGATAAAGCTTGTCTAGTTGTACTGTCCACGTATAGACTCGGTGTGCCGCTGTTGGCTTTTAGTACCATGACATGATCTTTTGGCTCTTCGCTTGGGGTATAGTATGATGAACTATGATTGACAGAAATGAAGATCCATCAATAGGGTCGCAGCATGCTAAATTAAGTGCTGGGGACTCGCAGTTTATTTGTGAGCCCTTGGAAACCTTGTTGTTTAGTCCTGATTCAAACACCGACAACAGGGAACCGAAGCTGACGATGTTCGGCCTCAGGCTCAGGATCAGGCTCAGGCAAGTTCAGATTCCGTAGCCTTTCAGCTGACCTGGCCTGACCTCCCTCGATTCCCGAAGTCGATCCCGTTTTCACCAAGGCCCAAGTTGGCAATGTGTCCGATGTATAGTTGAGTGATTTGTGAGATGTTTCTCGGTTCTCCCTCAACCCAGTAAGGAGTGTGATATCAGACTCTCGTTTAGATGGCTTGCGACGCAGTGGCTGGCTATACTAAGCTTGGCTCAGTTGACTTTTACGACGAGGTGACATGGTCTGAGACGAGAAATGACGAACGACTGCTCAGGAGCTTGGCGATGACCCTGTTCTGTTTGATGAGGACGTCTTACAAGTGGGATAACATCGTGAAAGTAAGTTTCTGTGCCTCTCTCTCCCGAGTCAGTCTGCCGCAGAAAGTTGGCAAGCTGCCTGGTCAGGTTGAATCTGGCAAGACGTTAGATGATACTCGGCTAGGCGGCAAAAGCAAATAGGGATCACGGAAAAGCAGTTGCTTCCAGTAAAGCCTGGCTCTAAGTTGACAGGCACCGGGCGCCGCGGGTTCTAGCGGAACTTAACCTTTTGCATGATAGGGCACTGCAGTATTAGCAGCAGCGTTAACATCAGTCAGACTGCGTGTGTACATACATGTAAGTGCAGCATGGCAGGATAGGAACCCTCGTGGAACAGGGTCTCTGTCGATCAATATCCTTGATTGACAGAAGGGATGAATTCTCAATCCTCCTCCCGAGTGGACACAGTGGATGTTGATATGGCCGACGGCACAGCCATGAGAGGAAAGGACTGGCAAACTCCGCAGACTACTCCATACTCCATGCCATGACCATGGTCAATATTGATACCCCGTTGCACTCACTGCGTTGACATGCCACCCTCGATGCCTCAGCTGTGATCTCGGAGTGTTTGAGGTGCGGGATGGATCGAGGATTTGGGTCAAGAACGCAGAGGAGGGAGTGACTTGGCCCTGCGGTGACGAGTGTGATTCGGTGACCCCTATGCTTTCACGGCCCGACATGCCATATCGTTTCCAAGAGGATGGATCATGGATGGGTAGATCTCCCATGCGTAACAGGGAACATGACCTTGTGTCGCATCTTCATGAGGTGCCCACAGCCTTGCAGACGATCCAAGCATGAGAGAGTTGTTGTTCACCAAACTCAGTTATTGATGTTGAGATACTATAGCATGTAGATACAAGTTGGATTCTTATGTGCACCGTTATTGTGATGAGGCCATCAGTGGCGGTCTCACTGCAACCACTGCAACCACTCCAAGGTGATATGACAGTTACAAAAGGCGAAGCGGACTTGCTGGACATGCAATGCATGCGCCGTTGGTCTCTCAAGACGATGCCATTATGTCATGCAAAGACGGTGAAGAGCAGATGTAACGGTTTCCTGACTCGAGGCGAAACCCAGGAACTCCCTGGTTGGTACCCGCCGTTGCAGTGCCATCGCGGGTGGGCAATGGAGCGATTGTCTTCCTGCAGCACTCCGTACTATCTCTGTCTCTTTTTGCCGCCAAGGGGCCGCAAGATGAGACGCAACAAGTGAAATCACATTATCAGTGGAAGATCTCAGGGGGGCGAAAAACGAAAAGACACAGACCCAGAGACAGGAGAGGCAAGACTCAGAACGGAGTATCAATCAAGTTTGGGAACAGCCCGGCAGTTGAGCAGAGTTGGCCCCTGCGTAAGCAAGCGAGAGCGTTGTGATGACGACGATACATCTGGCATGGTTTGCATTGGATAGTTCTCGATGTGAGTGGGATCGTGTGAGGTTGGAGATGGAGAATGATAGATTACACAGGACGGACTAACATCGGCAAACCTGACTGACTCCGTCTAGGTATGGACGGTAATGATATGTCCTTTTTTTCACCTCCTGCTTTTAGCAACAAAGTTTAAGACACGAGTTAGCCGAAGAGATTGAAAATGGATCAATTCGATGTGATGTGATGCGATACGATGCAATACGATAGATGACAAGGTAGGGATAGCCCGTCCATATGTCGTCCGGACTATAGACTGTAGAAGCGTAGAAGCGTCAGGTCATGGTTTGCAAAGAGGCTACTGAAGAATTAAATTGCGATATCAGAACCCATCAGTAATAATAATCAAAGCAAAGACCATAAACAAACACGGACAGCATCACGAGTCTGGAATCTTGGGGAGTTTCAACAGGCTTGATCCTGATAAAACCTCGTGCTATTACAATGGATGTCATCCATGCCCTGGCTCCTTTGCCCGTTTTTGGAACCAGGCTAAGGTACGGCAGTGAAGGAAGAGGGAGGGGTGCGCATGCTCGTAGCGTGCCCTCTCAGTGTCTGTGTGATTCCAGGGTAGAACCCCTGCTGGAAGATCCCCGCCCCGCGCCGCCGGGCCACACACCCCCCTGTGACGGGCGTTTGGTTGCTGCTGTCCCCCCTGGGTTTAGCGCGAGGGCGCTAAGATGAAGATGCAGACAGCCAGACACCCTGGAAGCGCTTTCGGAGCCGGGGGTAGACGCACATACATACATAGCAGCGAATCGGAGGTGTGCGGCTATCATCAAACGTCTGGGCGTCACGGAATCCTCACCCTCGGGAACTCTGAACAATGAACCATTCATCGATGAGGTGGTACTGGGCTGTAGGTAAGGTTAGTAGGCAGGCTGTGGCGATCCAGGGAATTTTATATGGATGCCTAGCTGATATCTGGAAATACCCATGCGATACATCTTATACTACTGTGTCGTCCCACGTATATTCCGTACCTCCCTGGTATATGTCCTCGATTAATTCTGAGCCCATCTCCAAACAATAGATCTCATCCATCCCATTGCTATGGTCCTCTAGCAAGCATCACCCCGGGAACAAGACCATGTCTTGCGATCATTTTCCCCCTTCCAAACGATCCAACGTCTTTCTTTCTTTCTTTCTTCTTTCCTTTCCTTTTCTCTTCCTGCGCCCGCCCGCCCGTTATTTTTTAACCGTTACATATGGATCCAGAAGTTCCCCGCTCAAGGGGGGAAAACGTGGCCCTGTTGGGATCCCCCCTTGAATGAGTGAATGACTGAATGAAGCTGATAACACCGCTTCTTTGAGCTGGACCACAGTCAAAGCGTAGAAGCATGAAAGAAGAAAATGTCCGAGGTTCTCTGTGATTTCCTTTTTGCAAGTTCGTGGACGTGCTTGGGCTCATGCAATTACGGGTTTCCCGTCGCATTGTCAATCTGAAGCGTTGAAGATTGTCTGTGACACGACACGTGCGTGTGCGCATTGAAGCCCAAAACAAAGCTTTGAGGCTATCGCAAGGTCAGCCGAAAAGGAATTAATCACTTCAGCCTCCCCCAGCCCAGCCCGTGGACTAAACTCTAGCCTGATCAAATTCCCGTGCTAAAGAGACAGCATCATCCGGTGTCATGGTCCTGCTTCTGGTCTGTGCCGTTTTCCTGGCTGACTGCGACATCCCTTCAATTCACTGACCTCCGGCTCTCACACGCACTAACTGATTAGTATCTTTTTTCTACCTCAAGCCTCAAGGTACTCTACTTTAGTGATGGGACAGGAAAGAAAACCATGGACTAGACTAACGGATCTGCACCATGCTTTGTTAGGAATCCTCCTCGTGGCCGTGGCCCCTTGATTAAATCCAATCCAATTCAATTCAATTCAACTCCCCCAGCCAGCCCAGCCCAGCCCAGCTCAAGCCCCGAGGTCAATCTCGAGTTATTTCCTCCGATGCTAGTCAATCAGTATCACCCGCTTGTCTCAGGCGAGATGGCCTATCGCGTTGTGTCCGAGGTAACACTACGGAGGGTAAGGAACAGTAGCTTATTTGTTTTTTTCCTCCCACTGAGGATCGCCATTAATTGTGCATGACTATACCCTTTTCCGGTTACATTCACAATTGCAACTCTGCAAACATACATACAGAGCATGCACTGTATGTACAGGATGTGCAGCGAGGCATTCAATGCTGCTCATTTCGCACATTTGCAATGTTCTTTATGCTGCAATGTTGAGTAGTCACGTACTAATAATAATTACCGAGCACCGCACAGAAAAAGAATGGATGTGGAAGTCGATCATTCAAGCCCTTGTCCCAGTCCATCAAATACCTTGCCCTTGCCCCTGTCACAACTCACCAAGACCAGGACCAAGACCAAGTCAGCCAACAGTCAGTTTCTCCCAAGTAGGTTGACTACTAACTAATTAATAAGTCAACTCTCACACACAGACCATGAAAAGACACGAGGCAGGCGGAGTAACAACCCGAACCGGTCCGCCCAGCCTTGACATTTGAGCAGCAACAGCAACAGCAACAGTTGCAGAAGCTGCAGAAGGTGAGGGATCCCCAGGTTTAGCATACCCCTACCTTACCTTTCCTTTCCCTTCCTTAGGTAGGTAGGTACCTTAGCTGCCCTACCCCTACCCTAGGTACCTAAGGTAGGTATTGCATTCCTCTTTTGGGTGCTTCTTCTCTCCAGGTCATATTTGCGCCGACACATCCCCCGATGACTTCCTTCCGTTCTTGTCCAAGCTACCCAACTTGTCATCAATGACAAAGGGACCCGATCCCTCGGGGCAGGCACCTTTTATTTTCGCTCTGTAGGTACCCAGATATTACAGGGATCCTCCAGGCTCTTGTTAGATGATGTCGCAGTAGACAATTCCATTTCTTTTTCAAAAACGTCGTATAATCGTCTTGCACGAGTCAACGACGTCACTTCGCTCAACAGGATGGATCCCTCTGAGACCCGTTCATGTTTCCAAGGTCCTTGGAAATGGAGTCATTGATCGATTGAATGAATGAATGGACGACCAAGAATGCACTGAATAGGTATTATCATTCATTCATTCATTAGCTGATGTTACAGTTGCAGTTGCAGGGAGATCTTCTCGTCATCACTGCAGCGGTCAAACCCTTCTCAGACCAATCAAGATCCACTCATCTCGTGGTGTCTCGCCCGCAAAAGCAAAGCAACAATCAGCAGCATAACTATGGCAGTGGTACCTTTGAACTTGCAGCCAACAAACAGACAGCAATAGCCACAGTAACATTAATGATAACAACAACAATAATGATAATAGCACATGCTCAAATTTAACCGTTGCCTGTCATGCCATATCCTGTCTGGTCACCTCATCTATGTCTATCAGCCGATTTCATCTTTGATGGTCCAAGCTGCGCACTCCTCACCTTCTAGTATCATAGTTCTCCCCGTTTCGGCCACTTCTCCTAACATCCCTATTGGTCGGCGTACGTGGACATCGGTAGAGCATTAGACCGAGTTAATTTACTCCGTTGCTACATACTCCTTCACTTTTCATGTCTGCATGACTCCAGATTCACATCTTCATCTCGGGCAACGATTGTGCTTTGATCTTGTAATATTTTGATATTCATGGCCCCATAGCCTCCCTGGTCTTGCCTCAGGTGTATCGTATCAACCTCTCGCTATCTCCATCGACTCTCATCAGTCGATCTCTTCGCGTGCCGATAAAAGAACATACAGTAGTAAACTAAACGCCGTGCACGATGCTTCGCTAGGTTCTCAAGCCAGTTTCCACCTCTGCGCCGTCTAAAATGACCATAGCTGCCTCCCAAGAAAGTAACAGACAGTATCCGCCAAATGAATACAATAATAAAATAACACAATACACCAGACTTCCAGTAATACAGACCAGCGTCGAGAAGAGAATGTAGCTTTTCCTCCCTCCCGACTTTTCCCCAGTTGACCGCGACGCCAAGCCCGGCAATCCTTAGACATGGGTCTTACCCAGGATTTTCATCCCAATAACAAGTAAAAGAGACCGGATCCATCCATCCAGGTCTTATTGTAATAATGCTCGTTCCGTGAGGCATAATCATCTCGAGCTTTCTTCGGCATTCATCCCTCTTCGTAGAACCATCTCGTCGTCCAACACGTATATCCCTCAACCCCGAATCACAGATCCATTAAATTCGAAGCTGTGGCAGCCCCTCTCATGACGTTTCATGTTGCTGCGTACGCTGAAAGCCTTGCCACATCCAGCATGAGGACATTTGAAGGGCTTCTCTCCCGTATGCGAGTGACTGTGGATTCGTAGACTGCTGGGCCTGCTAAAGGCTTTGTTGCAAGTCGGGCAAATATACCGATCCTGGCTTTGCGGGAATGCAGCCGCTCCAGTTGGGTTGAGATAGTGATGGTGCTGCCACGGGTTAGCTCCCGAAGGAGCAGGTGCCGGCATGCTCACCGGTGGGGGATAAGCTTGTGGGAGAGGGCGCTGGTAGTAAGGGTTCATCTCTTGAGGCTGAGCGGCAGAAGGCACCGGCGCCGTCTGGTAGTAAGCGCCCACTGGTGCTGGGTTGGCGTATACCGTGGGGTGAGCTTGCTGGGGATAAGGAGCCGTTGCTGGAGGTGTTGCTCGAGGAATAGCTGGTACTGATGCCTGACGCTGTGCATCAGCTTCTAGAGGTGGTGTGGTCTCGTAATAGTATGGTCTTGGTGCTGAGCCTGCATACGCCTGGTTGGATGATTTCCTTGTGGGGGAGCTGTAGCCTTCGAAAGATGCATCTGTGCTCATAGGTGGTGTAGGGGGAAGCCCACGGTGCGATGACTTAGCCCATTCAGATCCAGCTCGGCTATGGCCATGTGAAGGTGGAGGAACTATGAAATTGTGAGCGAGCCGCCCTCGTGGTCATCATGAAGACTACATACCTTCAAAGCGAGGAGAATGCTGCCGTGAAGTTGGAGAGGACTCACTCGTGGGTGAGCCGGCATCGGCCAAACCCAAGAGGTTCGAGATTGAGGGTAGAGAGCACTTTTGTTCCTCCATTGGGGGCGAAGGAGGTTGATACTGGTCGCGTCGAGTAAAAAACGGCGTTTCTTGTTGATTGTATTGGTTAGGCATGAAAGATCCAGCTGCTGTATGCATTTGCGGGCGGTCTCGGGATTAATCAGGATTTGCTAGTAGAAGCAATCGAAGCAGTCAAGTCAAGTAACCAGTATTAAGGCAGTATCGTGTCTGATAAATATCGGTGATGTTATGGGTGGGAAATGGAAAGGCACTGGCAAATATTAATGATGAGCCTTTTGTACTGCCAAAGTCGTATTCGATGGGAAGAGTTCTTAGAAGCTCATGCTAGATGCGAAATAGTCGGGGACTTGGGAACTTAAGTAAGTCCTTGGTGTGGGAAAAGGAACCTGTCAAAGGGTGGAGGAGACCCGTCTATCAGATCTGAGGACCGTAGACTTGTTTTGATGCGCCTACGCCCCCTCCAAAAGGGCCTTCCAAGCGCAGCTGTCACAAAATTGGGAGTGGAGCGCTACCGGTGCTCAAATCCTGGGACTCGAGGGAAATCGTTGGCAACTGGACAGGGTCACAAAGGAGACGATAGGCAAGGGCAAGGGCTGAAGGATGCTGACGGGAGGTTCCCTGATGCCGCTCGATGGGTCTAACCTCTTGAGTTTGTGTTGAGTATCTGCCCCGGCAGTGACGTCCCCACTCATGAAGGAGATGTTGTGACGACTCTGATGATGATCTTGAGCAAGGGAGGGGCGGTTTGCATGTCTGTCTTGGGTCAAGAGGGAGTGTGTGGGGTGTGGGATACCGAGGTACATACATGCACACGCATCTCTAAGTTAGCGCTCGGCGTATGGGTGTGAGTGAGATCCACGAGTGTGTGTGCTAGAATGCTTGGCCATGCGCCAGGATATCCGTGATCGCCCCGTGGTCAAACGGTCGATAGGCCGGCTGGTAGTGGTACGTACAGCACCATCTGTATCAGTATCAGTCACTGTAAATCGCTATCCCTGCCCTGCTCCCTAAGCATGGCTTTCGTGGGGTCTCATTTGCCTGTGTCGATGCCATCGAAGACATGTCCCCTGGCTCTAACGACCGTGCCCTTTCCCGCTCCTAAACCTCTGCCTGCCCTCAGGCTCACTCACACTCATCTCAATGGATCGTGCATTTAAGTTCGCCGAACAAGGCGGTAGTGACCTTAGCCCCAAATCAACCAAAAGATGTTCTCCGGCGCCGGGAGTTCCACGCGCCCGGCCGAGATAGGGCGTCCACCTAACCTGGAACCTTGAGCCAAGCGTGCCATCCCGGCCGCCGCGCTGCATCGAGTTCCGGACCACCATTTCCTTATTCGGTGCCAGAACCGTTCCTAGTGCTCAACTCTCGTTCCATCCTGGTTTCGTCTCTGTAGCCTGCATATGTATGTGTGTACATACTCTACAAGCCTCTGAAGCTTCCAATAGCTTACCCCAGAGCTGATCCGGCGCCTGCTCTCGAGTTTGATGGACAAGCGATGAGACGAGATCGGTCCAAATAATTATTTTGATACAACGCAATGCGACCTCTTGCCTGTCCATGATGAAATCTTTAGATGTTGAACTTTAGACCGTATCCGAGGCTTCTGAATTCTATGCGTGATCTGCTCACATTTTCGTAAGGTGCCGGTTCAAGGCTCGATTGCCAAAATACTGCATTCATTCCACCTGCTCATTGGTTTTTACGCCGAACCGTTTCAACCCGTCGCAGAAAACCTCCTTCCACGTAGTTAGTTTGTGCTGACCACATTCTCTACTAACGATGTGAAAATGGGAATTGGACACTAGGCTCAGTAAAGAGAATAAGCCTGTGTTTTCATGTTGGGCTTGGGCACTTCCTAGCTCTGGCACCAAGTTCATATGACTTGCGCGACAACGAGCAGCGGCGTACCGGCAGTGCAATGATGTCGTCGTATTGGTGCGACTGGTGTTCGTTCGGGCATCAGCCACGCTCCCGGCGACCTTTTCGTTTTCACCTGTGTCGTCACTGGCTAAGCAGGCTAATTTGGATGATCGTCGTTCTAGCGGGCGCCTCCCCTTCCTCGCTTACACTGGCGGGATTTCTTGGCGTAGGGTTCAGGAGGTGGGTGTGCAGTTTGCCAGTGATCGACCAAGCTTCTTCATGAGGAGGGACAGGGGCATGAAGCCAAGCGTTCGGTGCCCTGCCCCGTCCGGTTGACTTCTCCAAGCAATTGGTTCGAAGCAACCAACAATCAAGCTTCCCAGCTCGCGAGTCATGAGAGTAGTATCGTGCGAGGTCCCTACAAGCACACATAGTAACGCAGTGCGTATCCAATCCCTGACTCTAGAAAGCTGGCTTTGTCAAGCGTTTCAGCTGGATTCTAAACCTTGGGCCATCAACAGACAGACCTGCCGCTATGAAAAATATCGGCTCGGGTTGTGGGCGACAAATGTTTTCTCCAAGGGTGAGCACATCTAGGCTTGGCAAATGATGTTGAGACAAAACAGGACAAGCCATCCAGGACGGCGCGTGTCAAACTTTAAGCGACAACACGTGCCAAGTCCCTTTTGATTGCTTTTTGCCATGCGATAGTAGCCACGCTTCCGTCAGCCACAGCTGTATCGAGTCATAACTGTATGATGAAGCTTTCATACCAAAATGAACCCTCACGCATTCGTCCGCAGCTCCGTTTAAGAGTGTCACCGAGGTTATTGGTTAGAAACAAACGTGCTCCTACCAAGCTGGTTGCTGAACTGCAGGGACATTCAAAGGGCTGGGCTCGTGAATCCTCATATACCTTTCTCGTATTGGTCCTGTTACGATACAACCCTAGGATGAAATGCGTGATGTGACATGCGTGGTGATATTGGTTTGCGTCCTATTCGTTATCCTCGATCGCTTTGCTTCGTCCCTTAGTAGGCAGAGAGAATCTGTGTCAGGTTTGTACATATGTAGTCGTCCGGGAATCCCAGAACCCGATGGACGATACTCCGTAGTTTGTTAAGATATGCTGATCTTGGCTGCCCAGGGATCTGCATAACTTTTCTGTCAGTTACTTGGCCGATGAAACGGATATGTGATGGGCCCCCCTAAGCGCATGAAGACCCTGTCGACGTCATCGTTAGCCTTCGCAGTGTCGGATCTTTATTAGTATACCGAACTCAGATTATAACAACACTTGTCTGCACAGCGACGGCAATTCTGAGGCACAGTCGGCTTAGCCGTCAGTGGTCTGTGTGGGATGTGGGATGGCCCAATGATCAGCGGGGTGTTGTCTGCTAACTTTGGATTCTCCAGATGAAGTGCACGAACTTGAAATGGCGTGTGGAGTTCTTTCTAACTTCCAGGCGGCGGATACTGCATGACCCAAAGCTTCAAATAGCTGTTTGAACAGACATATATTCTCAGAGGCAGCAGCTACGATTGCATACAAACAGATATTTAACGATAATTGCGGTGTTGGCGTAACTTAGACAGTGACGTAACAGCTGAAACATAATTTTGTTACTGATATGGTCGGTTTAGAAACAGCCACAAGCCGATCTAGTTTCTGGGTGGTGAGCAGATGATCGCGACAGAAGGTTGTCGAAAGTCACATAGCGTGTCTGCCAGCGGAAAAACATGACAACGGGCTCACCGGACTAAGTATCTGGGATCTATGCCAACACGTTCGCGGTTAGCCTTGTCTTGCCTCGAAACACTACCGAGTGGGAGTAATGTCAATGAATCCACCTTGATCCTTATTTCAAGTAGAATCAGTAGGTTGATCGGCCAAAGACCAGAACAACCGCTGTAGGGACTAGAAAGGGGCTTTGGGGGCGCATTCGGCATTTGCTTGGTGAGCCCAAGGGAGCTATTAATCGACGGGTAGCATGAGCAGACCAGCCCATTAGTTTCACATGAACGTGCACAGGACACACGGATTACGTATATACCGAAATTAGGCTGGGTACCAGCCGACCGGCAAGCAAAGCGGGATGATGAAGTTGGTGGAATCTGGTTCGATTGTGGGAGACTTGATTGGTGAGACGCTAGCCAAGGTTGCCAGGGTCACTTCCAGAACTCGTCGATAGGAGAACAAGGTTTTTGGCTTGAAGAAAATCTGTCGATCGGTCAATTCAGCTCACTGCCCTGCCGAGAGATGCTAGGTTCAAGAGAGTCAATGTTGGCGACGGAGAAAAGAGTTCAATTTGGGGAGGACTGTCAGGAGGAGAAGGGAAAAGTGATTGATTACCTCAGCCTGAGACACGGGTATTAGCTGATGTGATTGTGAGATGTGATGCAACGCAATGCAAGGGAGTTTATTAGCATCGGATCGGATTGTGGAAGGTGCACGGTGAGGAAAGGGTATTGAATCATGGAAATGCATTGGACAGTCGGTTCTTTCCCATTATCATCAACACCACCACCGCCCAAAAGAGATGCTTGCAGAAATGCCGCTCTCAGTGGATCAAAGCAGAAGCCCAGTGGAGGTTGGCGTTGGTACTTAACAGCCAACACACCTCGCCTACAATCCTTAGGACAGCATTGTCGGCACATGTCTTACCCGGACGTTAAGCGAACTTGCGCCCTGACGCCTGGGGGGATAGAGTAAGCGTAATACGGGGAATCTGATGGAATGGAATTAAACAGGCTTAATTGTCTTAGTTGACGGGCATTATGGATGACACCTGCGGCTCGGGTTCGCTTTCGCAAGATGCGAAAAGTTCAGCTGTGTATTAGGTAGGTAGGTACTGAATGATGAGTCAGATCTTATCTCAAAGATTCCATTGAGGTGGCTCACACCTACCTACCTCATCAAAACTCATTAGGGGATGTTCCTTGGAGAAGGAAGGACACAGACAGCTACTACAGAGTCAACCCGGTCAGTTGCAAATGGATGCTCGGGACACAATCAACACGGACCTCGAAGCAGCCTCACAGTTGAATCATGGCATGCGCTACAATGCTGCCTGAACTCATCCGCATGATTCAGGATTGTCCGAGCCTTGAAAATCATGTGCCTCGCTCTCTGCCTCGTCCGCTTACCTACCTACCTATTCAAGTCAGCAGAATAAGCACCACTCAGCCACTATCGAGATCGCTGAACACCATCGTACTTTTTCAATCAACGTATAGCAAGCCTCAACGTCCATCTGGGCAACGAGGGAATTGCATGGCATTGCAAAATATGACCAAAATGCGCAACCACTCATGAACTCGTTCGCATCAACAACCCTGACGGATATCTCCGAGATGTTATTGGCCAGTGCCCCCAAAAGATCAACCAGGCATCTCGTTTGGGACCTCCATCCCACGAGGATTTCCCAGTGATCTTCACAGATGGCGGCGATCAGCAGGGGATACCCTTGCCTTGCTATTCCAGGGCGCTGGCCACGCGAGATGTGGATTAGACTCGATTTGGAGTTACGGGCTGCACACCCTGACGCACCCCCGCCCGCCCGACCTCCACTCGTCATGGTGGCCTGATTTTAATCTCTTGCGTCTCTGTTAGACTTGCACAAAGGTGGATGTTCCGCTCTCTGTCCTGCTCTAGCCTCCCCCAATACACGCGGGCGCTTCTTTGGGGTTGAGGCTTAACAGGACTCAGTCTCAGTGTCACTACAGCGCTAACAGCACTAAACTGTCACCGGCTTTAGCACTGCGCTCCAAGGCTTCGGTTTGGCTTCTGGTTTCTGGCATCTGAACGGGCTGCGCTAGCATGACTGCCGAGGTTGATCAATCACGGGCCGACAATGCGAGACCCCTTCCAACTCAAAGTACAGCACAGTCTATCTCAGTCTGCTTGTGCCTGCCAGTCATGGTCAGATATGATGACAGAGCTACGGATACATAAATACGTTAATCATATCACCTACAACGCTTGGCGTTCCTGGTTTGGCCCTGTTGCTTGCTTGCTCGCACGCAAGGCGAAGTCAGGAACGCTACTACGGAGGTCATACACGAAATGAACTACGCCTCTTATCCGCATCCTCCGACCTTGCTGGAACCCTCACGATGCTCGGCTTCATCCACTTTACTAACTCCAGCCTGGCGAGCAGAATCCCGATTCTAGGATAGGTTCATTTCCTGTCCAACGGCTTGTTCCGTTTTGGACTTTTGTTATGACTGGCGTCGCGGCTACAGGACGTGCTCTCACCATCTGCCAGCTTTCGATCCCTTGCCCGAGAGTCTGGCGCCCCTAACCTCGTCGACCGTTATTCCCCCCACACCACGACAAGATTGCCTGTTCGGGTAACTCTGGTCCGTGTCAAAGGAAACTTGATCGACTTCGTCCCATGTTATAAAGCGCAACATAAGCCTTTCTCTTCAAGGGTCTCCATGAACGGAACTTCCCGTCAGGGACTCTGTCTCTTCTCAAGTCAGTCCATCGCCTAAAGGATCGTCGGGACGTCAGACCCTTAACCCAGCTTTGCCGACTCAGGATCTGTCGAAGAAGAGCTTCCAGTTCTTGTCCTTGGACGCACGGCTGACTGGCAAGGTGATTCGTTCTGGAGCGAGTGAGTGTCAAGGACTGGTCCTGTCAACTTCATGGATTGACCAAATGGGGACATTGCATTAGGCTCTTCTGAGCTCTCCCCATTCAGAATAGTCACTTCGAACTGGTCCCAGTTGTTGCCCTTGCTGCCAATCCCCAAATGCTCAAAACTCGGGCCGTTGAGCTTACCATGGCATCACTAGCGGGCGTGCAGCATGCTGTGATCTCGTTTGCCGCAGGATCAGGATCAGGATCAGTTCAGGGGGTGCCCCAGAGAACGTTTGGGGGATAACATTTGTCTTCCCTGTCATCTCCCATGCCGAGAAACCTCACTGCGTTGCTGTCAAGAGTAATCATGTTCGATCGCAACCTCATATACGCCAGTTTCAGCCCATGACTATCTGTATGTATCTACATAGTATGTCATTCAAACCCCATGTCTCCTGTCAACTACCTCGAGTGAAGATGTACAAGGACTATCACGCGAATCTTGCAAAAGACCAAAATCCTTCTAGTGAAATGTCGTTCAAAGGATCTGCAGGCAATCTTGAAGATTCACCGAGAACATGTCCTCCTTCTCAAGTAGGACATCGCAAAAATAATGCTGTGGGTTGTGAGAAGAGTCATGCGCCAGTTGCAATCATGTCGAGTTCGACGGCTAAATAGGATTACGGCCCGCTGTGTCGTAGGGAGGAAAGATCGCGTGGAGATGGTTGTCCGACTACCTGATCTTGATGCCAGCCGTCCCACAAGATGTGCAATTGATCACCCACACGCGAAAAGGCGATGTTTCCACTGTGGTTGGGATGATCTCCAGATGCACCACTGTGGCGGAAACACGTTAACTCTGCCAGGCTCAACAGGGCAACTCAAAAGGGCGGCAAGGGACGATCATGGGGGGAGAGCCAACCCGAAGTTCAGTACTGTCATAATTCAGATACCTCCTTGCTGACACCAACAAGTCTTGGGGGTATCAGCCAGTCGACGACACCGTTGCAGTCTTGTTGGACCGAATCTCGATGCTGGCATCCCAATGGTGTGCACCCTTCGCCGCCCTCAACAGCCACTCGATGGTCTCAACGCAACATCAATACCAGGGAGCTCTACGTGGTTTGTTGCTGAGCTATTTCTGTACGAAAACTGTTTCAAGCACCCCAGCTAATAAGCGCTTTGGAGGAACCCGTTGCTGGAGATCGCTTGTGACCGACATATAACCCTGTTCGATACTAGCTAAAGCCACCAACGACCTGGAGCGGTGTTGTTTCACAAGACTGCAACTACGGTAGGTATTCGGACATTTGACTACAATCTACCATCGTCCATAATACACAAATTAAAAAACATGCACTATTGGACCCGGAATAAGTTGGTGGGAGATCAGCGGATGTCGGTCCTGGCCCCCGATGCGTTTCCATTGGAAACAGCTATAGCAACAGCCTTATCACTTCAGTTGCTGACGCCTCAATTCATCAAAGGGAGAACATCGGTTTGGCGCTTGCCACGGTCCGTTAACGGGATTCTTCCGGGGCCGTTGAATGTGCCCCCTTGCTTATGACTGGGATTATTTCCATGTGGCTTACCACGCTGTTTGTGACTATCAATCAAAACCTTTCCGCGAAAAACATGGTCTTGAGACAATGCAATCTTGACAAACGCGATGAAAACTATTTGCCAGCCACCTCATGGCAGGGCGTGACAAACATCTGTGGAGTGCAATCCAAAGACAACTCCAGTGGCATGTGGTGATAGAGAAGGGAATGGTATTGAACGGATGCAACGTCTTGACACATGTTAGCGCCGACTGCTATTCATAGCTGTCGATCATCACAGCAATGGCTTGAATGCATTCCGAAGATGTTTGCCTATGGCTGGAGGCGAAGCCATGTTTGATGCTGAGAGAAAACAAGTCATGCTTGGAGAGCGATTGGTACCCCGATGAGAAAATATCGAATTTCCCATGTTCGAGTCTAAGCCTTGAATTAGGTTTACTTTTGTTGGACATGTTGCTCCCTGTTCATATGCAGAGTTGCTTGCCCCCATCGTACGACCGTTTCATATTGCTTTTTTCTCGATGTATCTCTTTGTGGTACAAGAAACCATGACTAATTTCAGGGACGAAAGACAAAGTCTGTCAGACATGGTGAAAAGAAAAACAACGACAATGAGAGGATCAGTGACGAGCTGCAGCAGATGGAACAGCATATTCCGCAACATAACTGCTAGTATCCGTACGGAGTATACAGACAGATCATTCTGGAGGATGCACAATGTTGCTTTTTACCGGCCTCGGGAATTGGTCGATACATACATGTCTTCTGCACAGCCAACGGCACGCATTGACCTTCGTACATAC